CGGAAGATTAATGGTTAGCTTACTATTTTGAGGAAGATTGGTGGTCAGTTTATTATCAGAACTGAAACACACAATCCGGAGTGAGGGTCCTCAATTCTGAGAATTTCTGTTGGCAGGATGTGGGCCCCTAACTCTGGGAATTACTATTAACAGAGCTCTCAGGGAAAGGAAGGGGTGAGTGGGTTCTCAGGGATGTTTGGTTTAGATAGCTACTGGGCTTTCTGAGAGGAGTAGGAAGAAGTAGAAATGCTGTTATGCTGGAGGGCTTGTGAAATGGACTTTGCTGCAAAATGGAGTTTTAACAAGTCATTACAAAATAGAATCATCTACTTCACAAGATTTCCATGGCCATGTAAAATTGTTGACTCATGTAATTATTTATTTAGGTGGTGTTTTTAGAGACTGGTGAAATTGTGGCCTTGAGGCACTTTAAATTTTGATCAAAATCAGAAAAAAAGAAAACCAAATACAAACCCTTGATCTGAATACACAGTACATTTTATGTTTGTTGTTGTCGTTATGTGCCATAGAGTCGGCCCGACTCATAGCGACCCTTCCTTGGGTTGCCAAGGCAGTATCACTACGGAAGTAGGCTGCCCCCCCACCCCAAAAAAAATCCCTGTGGTCATTTAAAATGAACAGCCACTTCAGATCAAAATGGGATGTGTAGTAGATGTTTGCTCAGAAACTGGCTTGAGCTCTTGCTTCAAAATTTTAAAATTATTTTTGTCTTACACATATAATATATCTTAAATTATGTGTCTGTAGCATGTGCAACTTGTTTTCTCTTGCTGATATCTTGCTTTTTCATTTATTGCTTTATTGTTAATGTTTCCCATTAAATCATAGTATTTAATAGGACACACTATTCCACAATGTGATTATATCATACATAATGTACTTTATCCAGTACCCTATTGTTATAGGGACCTTGAAATGACCCTGTGATGATGTGAGTCCCTTTCTGAATTCCATGGCTAGTTTTAGACTGAAAAGCCAAAAAATGGGCTCTCTAAAGTCAGGTGAGGGAGAGGAGGAGGATCATGCTGATGGCATTAAAGAACTACATATATACTTTAAATATGACTTACTTATGATTTTAGGAATGAGATTTAGATTTTATCTAAACTTCCAAAAGAGTAATTATGTATTCTCATAGAATCTTTAATTTCACCACAATTTGACACTTACATGTTACAAATTGAGTGTCAATACATGAAGAAATGACCAAAACAATGATTGAGTGTAATGTCTTTCTGGCAATCTCTTATATAGTTTACTTTTGATAATTTCTGTGTTAATTTTACTGTGTGGGCTTATATTCAACACTGGGTGGAGTCCAAGGCCACTAACTGGCAAGTTGGAAAAAGTTCAGACTAAATACAATGGTGGTGAATCAGGGACATCTCAGAATTTGTGTGTCCACAATTATCGGTGGTGTTCTTCAGATCGTAACGACAAAAAAAGGTTGATTTGGAGAATTGTCCCTACAAAGTCATGAAACTGCACGGGATCTCAGAGATTACCTGGTACCATTCCCAGGTTTTCTTTTATTTATTCAATGCTTATGTTTCTAAACAAAAATTTTGAGGTACTTATAACACTGAAAAGCATAGATAAAAATAAAAGCTTATATATTTACCAAATGTAAATATTTTGCTTTAGTTATTATTTTATGTATTTATTCAGGTAAAATCTGTACAACATAAAATTAACCATTTTAAAGTGTAAAATTCAATGAAATCCCTAGTTATTTTTTAGAGATATAGAACTATCACAGAGATCATGAAAGTGCCATACTCTTTCCCTGCCTCTTTGCTATTTTATGCCTTCCTCCTGAGAAGAAACCACTAACTCAAAATTTGCAGCTATTTTGTAAACTTTACTACATGCATGTACTTGTAAATAATAGATTTTTAGGGGTGGGGTGAGGTGGGATTAAAATTCATTTTAAGTTTTCTTTTGTAACTTACTTTTTTTTTCAGTAAATATCATATTTTAGAGATTTAATCACAGTGATAACCATGGTTCTAGCTAAATTATTTTGGTTGCAGCACAAATAAGATTCTGTTAATGAATATACCACAGTTCATTTTAAAGAGGTGATAAGTGGGTTCAGAATTGATACAGCATGCCCAAATTCAAACAGTTTTGGGGTTAACATAAAACTTAAAATGTTTTACTCAAAAGGTATGGTTCAGATTGTACGTTTCCTCCATGTACATCTACTCTTCTTTATCCTCCTTTGGCACACATGACAAAATGAAATTCCATGGCTGTTTTTCTCATTCTTCATAAGTGTCTCTTTTGAGAAAGTAAACAAAATGTTATGGGTATGAGATAATTTTGTGGTAACAGCATGATGTTTATCTATTAACTTATCTGTTCTATGTCTGATTATTCACCTGTGTAGTGCCCTTATCATCCGTGATTCCATATACTCACTTTGATGTTCAGTTTTTGGAGAAATTTGGGGTCACCTTTAGGAGAGAAGGTGAAACTCTTACTCTCAAGTGTACTCTGTTGGTTACGCCAGACCTGAAAAGAGTGCAGCCACGAGCTGAATGGTACCGAGACAGTAAGTACCACAAACTCACACTTAGAAAATGCTCCCATGTGAATAAAGCTACTTGTGTGCTACTGATCTTAAATTATTTGTACACAATTAATTTATAAACTTAACTGTCAGTTTGAGATTTGCCTCATCTACATCTAGTTTTTCATATAAGCTTTTTACTACCATATTAGCTGCAGATAGCAAAGCAAACTAACTGAGTATGAGAGAACTTGGTGGCAGTGACACTGACCTTGAAATTTATCCAAGGGGATTGTTGGTAAGTTAACTGTACTTAGAAGAATTGCTCAGAGATTTTTTTAATAGCTACATAAAAAAGTTTTCTATGTGATTAAAAAAAATGAGAAATGTTTAATTTCTTAAACTAACACAATAGCTGGCATTTACTAAAGCTTATTATGTTCTGGATCATAACAAATTATTGATAACATTGTGAAGAATGGGAATTCTAGAACACTTAATTGTAATAGTGAGGAACTTGTACATAGATCAAGAGGCTGTTGTTAGAACAGAAAAAGGGGATACTGCATGGTTTAAAATCAGGAATGGTGAGCATCAAGGTTGCATCCTTTCACCATACTTGTTCAATCTGTGTGCTGAGCAACTAGTCCCAAAGGTGGATTACATGAATGAGAATGCTGCATCAGAATTGGTGGAAGACTCACTAACCACATGCAATATGCAGAAAACACTACTTTGTTTGTTGAAAGTAAAGAACACGTGTAGCACTTACTGATGAAGATCAAAGACTATGCCCTTAAGTATGAAGTACCCCTCAAAATAAAGAAAACAAAAATCCTCACAACTGGATCAATATATAATAACATCACAGTAATTGGAGAGAAGATTGAAGTTGTCAGAGATTTCCTTTTATTTGAATCCACAATAAACATGGAAATAGCAGTCAATAAATCAGACCTCATATTGCACTGGGAAAATCTACTGCAAAAAATCTCTTTGAAGTGTAAAGGAGCAAAGATGTGACTTTGAAGACTAACTTGAGCCTAACCCAAGTCATGATGTTTTTAATTGCCTCATATGTATGTAAAAGCTGAACAAGGAATAAGGAAGACAGGAGAAGAGTTGATGCCTTTGAATTGTGGTGTTGGAGAAAAATAATGAAAATACCATGGACTGCCAGAGAATGAACAAATTTCTCCTGGAATGAGATGCAGCTGGAATGCTCCTTAGAAGCTAGAATAGCCAGATTTCATTTCACTTTACTCTGGTCATGTTGTCAGCAGGGACCAGTCCCTGGAGAAGGACATCATGCTTGACAAAGTGGAGGGTCAGCAAAAAAGGTGAAGAACCTCAACAAAATGGATTGACACAGCGGCTGCAACAATGGCTCAAGCACAGCAGGGGTTATGAAGTCAGCACAGGACAGGGCAGTGCTCTGTTTTGGTGTACATAGGGTAGCTATGAGTTGGAGCTGACTCAAACTCACCCAACAACAACAACAATATTATGTTCTGTACTCT